ATGTATACGAATACGAATGACGGACATCGGATTCAGTACCTACCCGCGAACAAATAACAAACGCGTACATAAATATATATGCGCACTACGTGTGTAGTAGGTATACACTAAAAGTATACGTATAAATATTGTTTTTGAACGGTCGGCAAGTCCGAACACAATTCGTATATTTATATTGTCGGTGGTCGTATACATTTAGTGTTGAAGGTGGCGTGCGGGGTTGGATATATAGATAAACGCGTCAATTCATATATTGCGTGTACATAAATCAGTAGGTACGCGATTCGGAAGTCCGCTGGGACATTGCGATGACCTTAAATCGTATCCGCGCGCGTTGGTCGAGTTTTGTATTAATACCGCAAATAAAATGGATTTTTTTCCCCCAATTTTTATACAATTATTGCGTTATTTGCTTTTTTCCACTCTCATTTTTTTTTTTTTTTTTTCATCATATTATTATATTTTCGATGTTTACCGCAGACAAATTTATTGATTTATTGTCCGAAAAATACCATTCAATGACCGAAAAAAAAAATGATAATTTAACGACTTGGTATATATTTTTATTTTTATTTTAGTGTAATGCGAATTTTATGTTTATTGATGTGCTGCACCGGAGTGCGTGTTACACGAAAAATTATTTCATTTTTCAAATTAATTAATTAATATCATATGTTTTTGCCTTGAAAATATAACGTATATGTATCAATGCAATCATAACATTCTACATGATGTATTATTATCTCCTCGTATAATATAATATCATTTAAATACAATTTAAAATATACATAGTTCTGCACGAATGTATATAATACTATTTTCATATTTTTCAGAAAGACAAAATCTGTACTTACATACATAATATTATTCAATAACTCGAGTAAGTAAAAAAATATATGATAAATTAATATATATATATATCATGTACAACTGCTAAATGCAACATCTTAAAATAATATTTTATTTGACGGATACATCAGAATACATAACTAGTAGTTTGTAGCTTGTAGCTTGTCATTTCATTGTATTCTAGTAAATAATTAGTCACTCAAAACAAGTAGATACCTATATATTGAATAACTATTAATGTATTAAATTTGAAGTTCGATAAATATCTTAAACAGTAAATAATATATTTATCTTAACCTTTCGAAAAACACCAAATTTGTTTTCCACACGTATACTAATAATATTATAACAATACAAGACCTCTATATTGTCTATTTCGATAAAATAAATTAATATAGATACTACTCTCCTATATTTATGTATTATTTACACAAAAATGCTCTCTTTCCTAACCATTATTCAAACAAACGCCGTAATTCTTTTTGAAGATAATATTATAAAATATTGATGGTAAAATCTGTTTATTTGAATGGATTGTTATTGTAACTTATAACAATGAAATTTTTAAAAGTTTGGTTTCCTGCTAGAGTATACAAATGCATATTGCTGTTGCCAACGAAAAGTTATTTTATCAATAAATATAAGTTACAATTGAAGTATTGAAACATCTTTGATAATATATATTTTATATATTTTAAATTAAATAAACAGTACCATTGAATTTACGATTTTGAACGTGGTTTATGAAAATACGCTAACACTGAAATTGGAAATTGTGATTATAATCATACAGTTGTTGATAGTAATAATAATAATTTTTTTAAAGTTTATTTAGAGTCAAATATGTACATGGCTAAGCATTTTTTTCGCTCTTATTAACAGGTATAGAGTCTTTAAAGAGCTCATTCATAATAAAGTATAGGAAAATAAAATCAATTTATGTTCAGAAATCGAGAAAAAATGTATTCCATTCAAATCTAGAATTTATTTAAATCGCTTTTATATTATTATCATAGGTCATAGAATATATTAGGTATTAATTCGTAGTTTAAAATGTAAAACATAGTACAAATAGGGACTACAAATCTAAGACTTAAAATAGCAAAGTATTCTTTTATAGTATGACCTAGGTAAATATTAATACTCAGAAAAATTAAATATTTACTTCTAAAAATAGTATTAAATACATAAAAATGCTTAATTAATACATTTAAATGTTGAGAAAAAAGGACAATCTCTCATAATGTGACATCTGTACTGCATATAATTATGCCATGTCTCTCTCAAAATGTAAGTTATTCGTTTATAAATTAAACCTGAACAAGTTTATTGTTGATAATAAGTTAAAATGACCACCATAACGAAATTGGGAACACAGTAACTCTAATGTGTATATTGATATAATCCAACAACATTTTATCAACATTCTATAATGTTTGGAGGGACTTCTGAATTGGTGGTACTAAATTTGTAAGAAATCGTGCAACTTTAAATATTTTAATGCTGAGTTTTTTGACAAATCGGATTTGAAGTTGAAAGATGTAAATCATTACATCGAATATTTCTCAGAAATCGGGTGTTTAATCAGTTTCTTGAACTCATCTGCATCTAGTGGAAATGATTTTGATTCGTCGAATTGGAGAAGAAAAATAACTCCCGACTACTATCCTGGAAATTCGTAATTTATTTTATCGCCTCAGACCCAAAGAGTTTGACGGCGCTCAGATGATATTGGCTCGGGTTCAACCGCCTGGGCGGCGTTTTAAACAGTATTTTATATGGTGGTCAAAAATATAGTAATTTTAGCGCTCACTAGTGTCATTATTTTTGATTGAAGGAAATATAAAGAAGTTTAAAGCTTTTTTTTAACGTTTGTGAAAAATATACTTGTTGTTATTTTTCGATCATTTTGATACAGGTAGGAATATATTTCATAATAATTATAATTAAAAATATACTCATTTAAGACTTCCATGTACCTTTTAAGTTACCTAAGCGATATGTATTTTGATAATGTAGTACCAGTAATGAAAAGTTTTGAGCAAAATAAAGTGACAATCTCTGTGCAGAAATGACTCACACACGAGACAGCCTGGTGACGAATGTATATATATAAAACAATATTTAGATACATAAATCTTTACTGGTGGATCGTATATGTGTGTATATAAATACAGTATACACACTGATTATTACGTGTCCCACGACAATGGAAACGACCAAAAGCGACAAACTGGAGGAAGGTGCTGGAGGAGAGTATATGTGTGTAGAGTAGGGTGGTTTTGTAGGAATGTGCTAAAGGGATGTACAGCCGCAGATAAGTTTTAATAAAGAGAAAGTGCCAGGAACGTTATTCGCACACGCCAAGACGTTTTAGTCCTATTCGTTTTGACATTTTCGCAATCATAACAGCCCCAAGGGATGGTTTGGCCCACGACATTATATTATTATTATTATTATTATTATTATTATATACAACGCTATACTATACGCTTTACATAGTCAACATAAAATATATATCCCTCAGCCTTCTGACTGCCAGTTTTAGACGAGCGATGGCATAATTTTCGATGCATAGTATGACTATGTGTCCAAAGTCAAAGATATTATAATATTTTATGACACTTTCAGTACCAATAATATTCGTGTCCGATTAAAAACAAAAACAATGTATTAAATATACCGATCATTCAAGGGTGCATGGTTTTAAAATATATCGAATGAGCTGATAGACTACTTAAGACTATCTGACATGCTTCTGTTTACATACTTTTATATACATACAAAATACCAACGCGTATGATGAATTTTTTGTTTTTTGTGAAAAACAAACTTACATTTTTATTTAACTTCCATGCAGCTTAAAACCCTATTTTTTAGTCAACAATAATAACGAGCATCGATCTAAAATATCTATGTAGAGCTTTATCATTGGTGCCTACATTCTAAAAATAATTGTTTAAATTTAACCATACAAATTAATAGAACACTGTTATCATTATTTAATCCAGCATAAAAGGATTAAAGTGATCAAAACTGCGACCAGTTGCTTAAATTTGGTCCAAGTTACGTCAAAACTATTTATAATAACGATATAATCGATTTAGATTTTAGCTCTACCCAAATCCAATACTATAACCCTATAGTTTAGTCGTCATTCGTCTGCACCGCAAGTGTTACAATATTATTCCAATCGTTTCAGAAATTTGAGTTGTTAGGTACGTCGGGATAGAGACCCCGTAAACTATTACTATTATTTATGTACAGTAAAATAGATTTAATTCTTTTAATTTTTCGCTATTTTTTGACTTAGCTAGATTCATTACCCACGTTTTGGTGTAGGCATATTACTATCGGTTCATGTTATCTTTGAATAAGCGAAAAGGAACGTACGTTCATTACGAAAATCGAAGGTTTATTTCACTATGAAAGTTCGTATTTTATATACAACATACTTCAAACGATACTTGACCGTTTAATATAATAGTATATTCGATGTGAATAAGAAAAGTCTGTGCAATGGGATGGGACGGATGACCGTCAGCCATCGTTTGTAAGTTTTGGATAATCCGTTTACTGCATAAGCTGAGTTTAAAAAAAAAATGGAAAATACGACTTTAACAAATATTGTTAGTCTACCAATTCAAATTATATAGCATAATATATAGCAGACCTACTGCACTATAATTTCAATGAACCAATTATTATTTTTTGTTTATCCCATTACACATATTATACATACATACATACATACATACATACATACACACATACATACATACATACATACATACATACATACATACATACATACATACTTACATACATATATACTTACATACATACATACATACATACATACATACATACATACATACATACATACATACATACATACATACATACATACATACATACATACATACATACATACATACATACATACATACATACATACATACATAAATACATTCATACATAAATACATACATACATATATACATACATACATACATACATACATACATACATACATGCAGGTACGCCCGTAAATATTGCAACGTTTGGGTGCTGTCCAAGTCGTTATATTTTAGGGCGACTAACGATATAATATACTACAAAATAATATTTATTACTATTTTTGTACTTACAAATTGTAATGCACGTCCGCCATGTTCGGTCGATATCGTAACGCAGTCCTCAGCGCTGTTTCCGCCTCGTCCAGTCGACCCTGACTACTCAGTATCGAGCCTAAATTTCCGTAGGCTGTAAAAAAAACAACAAATCGTAAATATGCAGTGATTATATTATAGTAATAATAATAATATAATATATACAGTACAAATTCAGAGGAATGCGAACTCTGTAAAATACGTCATAATACAATATATTAAAATATAAAAATAGTTTCCATCGTTTCGTAGTCTAAGAATTTAAGTGTTCACAGAAAGTGATGAAACGTATCAATTAATAACAATAATGTGGAAAAACCAAATAATAAACATTTTATGTTATATTATAGTTTTGAAACTTCAACGTTTGGCACGCAGAAGTACCGTAGGTATTCATTGCACTATGCGTCTCTGCAGCTTGGAGTGACATCATTTTGTGATAATAATTCCGATTTTACCATGAAAAATGATCGTTCCGAGTAACGACACGTTACGATGGATACATTTTGTCAAAGTTGTAATATTACGGCCATTTAATATCATCACGACACATAAACAAATTCAGTCAAAAATAAAGCTATCCATAATCCTCATTTCCGTGAAGTTTGATCGTTTTATGTTTTAATGTAATATAAACTACTGTCTCCCCATTACCAGCTACAATAAACCATGTTCATGGTGGATTGACATAGTTTAATTTGAAAATAATTCACTACAATCGGAGACTCACAATGTACCTAAACATTATGTACATATTACCTACATTTAATATTTGATGAGATGAATTAATTCATTCGATTGCTTTTAAATTTGGTCGATAAAAACAAAATGGTTTGTCTTCGCAGGTATGAGTATGTGTATAGACTTTATTTTAATGGTTTTCCGTCTATGCCTGCACAGTTCTACGTTTTTCATCGAATACCTATCGACTAGCATGCACGATATGTTGATATGACGTTTATTGAACGACGTATGTAGATGAGTTCGTGGAATTTTCATTCCATGTTATTACATTATAATAATATATATTATTAAGATGTTTTGACGCAAAATAAACACATGGAAAAACGAAAAACGTTTAATTTAGCGTCACAACAAAACGTGGCTTTGCATTATTAAACATGAACAAAACATGAAAAAAAAACGAAGGTTAAATGCATAAATAGTACAGTGACTAGGTGTTTCTATGTCGTTGCATATATTGTAGGAGACCCCCTCCCCCTATAAAACCTATATAATATTATAAAACCTAAGCACGAATATAATATAAACATTTTTATTTATAACACACACGAAATTACTTATAGTTGATTTATATAGTTTGTTCGGTTTTAAATACTTGTAATTATATCGCGACGCATTTATTAATATTATTTTTAATAGATTTAGTTAGCTATTTTTTTTTTTTATGTAAGTACCAAATGTGATCATATAACAATGATCTTAAAGCCACAACTACTGAATTTGAGAGAAAAAAAATTAATTTCAATTTCGAACTTAATTGTTCACATTTTTTAGCAACATTAATACATTTTTTTACTCAATAGTTTTCTTTTATTAAAAAAAATCCGAAAATGTCTATTTTAATTCAATAAAAATAAATAATAATGAGAACTAATATTAAGCGTCTTATAATGTATGGCCAGAAAACCAATTCCATCACGGACTTGTATCGCTGAAATAGATGATACTATATAATAATATGTAGTTTTTAGGTATATGTTATGTGTATAAAATGCATGTTATACAGTGATAAATAAGACAATACTTGATTACACTCGATACATTATAGGTTATACAACTAAAACAGTAAATCTTCGTGGAAAACCCTGTAGGTGAACTTTATTATTAGTGTAAAATAATGACATTAACAATTTATTAAAGCGAACATAACATTTTAGTAGTAGATTACTTATTATTGCATAATAATGACATTAACAATTTAGAACAATCAAGAACTGCAGTTAAGAAACTGGGTGACTGACTGAGTATCAATAATATAATTAAAATACGATACTTTTGCAGTTACTGGAAGTTTCATTAAAGTAGAACTCGGTGAAGCGGATTTCATCAATGTATCAAATAATATTATAATACAATTATGGTAAATGGTAATTATTATTCATGGAATCAAATAAAACATAATGTGCATTGCAACATAAAGAGTTGTAAGTGCGAGAAACATTATATTCTAGACCTGATCAATAATATAATAATAATTAACAACCTTAAGCCCAAAAAGTTGGGCACAAACATCCGTATCGTTTTCAATTCACAAAAGTAGGTTATTTTAGGATAATGGTAACTGTACAACGGCGGATATACTTTATTTATGTGTACAATATATTATAATATACACGAGAAGGACATAGAGTTAAAAGCATAAGTGTACGATAATGTAGGTACACAGTAGATTGTTGACAAGTATGAAAGAAGCCACACAGGAATGTTAAAAGTATAAAGTTTTCAAGTTATATTGTATAAAAAATATTGTATGAACCCACAGAACTGGAAAGTTTTGACTAGAGTAATCAATGTGCAATATTTTTTAAACGATGACTCAACCATGTCAAAATAATGATTGTAATCTAACCATAAATAGGTAGGAAATTTGTAATTTTATATTGTTATTAATTAAATATGTTCATCCTGTAATAATTAAATTAATAAGCATAATGTTCTTTGTACTGTACTGAGTCCACTTTAGGGCATATTTTATCATCAATAAATAAATAATATTATAGTGTATTAGGCGTATGTATAAAATAAAGGAATATCGGAATACATTATAATAAAATGATACCAAACGTTTAATTAAATGTTAATTTTAAGTACCTACCCATATAAAAACCAACAACGTTACAATATTCAACAGCATATCAAACTATATAGTATGTAACTATACATTTTTGATTAGAAATTATTAATTCAATATTAAATGGTATTACGATCGTTCAAAGTATGATATTAATGATATCATTAGTCAATGATTTGTTTTATATGATATTATGCGAATTATGTTGACGACAATCATCACGCAAAGCCATTAAAATGTATGTTATTATGTAAGCTATACTATTTTACAACACTGTAATTTTGCTTATTTATTGATTTTATGTAAAAATTCAAACATGTAAAGCCTATAAATGTGTTCTAATAAATTTTGTAGATTTCCAGAATGCTCGACAACTTTAATGATAAGATTTAATTATGATATTCAAAGTTCAAACTACAATAAATAGTTATCATTTATTGAAGTAAACGCGTATTCATGGGTTCACTGAGTTGTATAATAGTGGCTTAAGGACTTTAGAAATCCATTGTATTTAAAGAAATGTATAATTTTAAATTACCTTAATAATATTCCATATAAAATTCTGAAAATAATTGCTAATGTTACCCATATGTACTATCTCTAGAGACTCGTTCATTTTGGTTGAGTATAGGATTATATGAATCTTGACTCTCTTTCCACCAGTAGTGACTAAATACTAAATGTAGGTATGTTCATGATATTTTGAAAAACAATAACAACTACTCACCAATTTTAAATTTAATGGGATATAGAAGTATTTAGTAAAAATACACACAATTCTGATTATTGTTCTATATACCTACCAAAACGTATAACAAATTGTCCAAAGAATTCAAGCGTTCTTTACAACACCCAAAAAATCCAAGATTTTAGAGATTATATTCTATACCGTCTTCGATTTTTCTTGTTATATCTCTACAAGTATTTAAAGCTGAAACTTTATTATTTTTAATACATAGAGCTAAGTATTTCATATTCGTTTGTATGGAATTTATTTTTTTTTTGTTGTCTTATTGTTAGTTTTATTTGTATTATTATCACCAAGTCTATTGGGTAGTTTCTTTGTGACAATAATTGTATTTTGCACCGTAATGTTTTGTCGAGGGGCTTATGTCCCTTGGTTATTATAAATACATAAATAAATAATTTAGTGTATTTTATGGTGACATAAAAAGCTCAATTTTCATAAACATACTGCCATATAATAATGTGTAATTATCTTAGAACTAATATTTATAATAAGTATAGGTTATGTTAGTTATTACATTTACGTAAATTATCTTGTATTTTTTTGTTTCATTGTTATTATTATTATTACTTCAATCCAAAGTTTAAAAAAAACAATATACCTATTATATTTTGATTTAAATCCAGAATGTCCGAATAGAGTGAGAAACAAAAATGTATAGATAAGACAACTGATGGAAGTATACAACCACGTGTTTGTTTTACCAACTACAATATGGGTTAGTCGTCAGCCATTTTCATTTTCAATTGCTCACCAAAGCATTCAGGGGGAATTTATGTGTCAGTTCCGACGGACAGATGAAAATAATATATTAAGACAAACAGAAATTCGTTTAAATATCCATCGTGGAAGATAGCGGGTGGTACTTGGTGGTACGACAGAACTGGCCAAACAAAAGTCTTGATTGTGTTATAAAAGTTTGTTTTCAATGTCCACCGTCCGATAAAAGAGGTGGAAAAAATGGGGAAAAAATGAAAATGAAAAACTCGCACAGCTACGTGCGTATATAGATATATTAGTCTTTGTCACGGCCGTGTTCACTCTGCGCATTTTGACGAGCAAAACTTTTTGCCGATGTAAGAAAGGACTGGTAATTTGTTTTTATTTGACGCTAAAATTTATTTTTTTTTGCCTTCCCCCAAAACTTTAACGCCAAATAAAAACTGGAAGGCGCGAGCGTAACAAGGACGACAAGAGTAAAACGCGACGAAGATGCACAAAAGTTCACATTTAAGTCCCGGAAAATCTGAATTATATTTGAAAAGTTTATTCCACCTTTTGCCGGATCTTTTTAATATGAACACCACGTGGCCCCTTTGGGCATCGCAACTTTTAACGGTAGTTGAAGGGGAGGATGTATTTATCTGAAATTCAATTTTGACGCAGAACATGCATGTCCGGTCGTGCGAGTTGACTGAAACCGGGATGCAACTCCAGACAATATTATAATAATAAAGTTAATCGAATTCGAATAAAATAATTATAAAACCAGTCTTCTTATTAAAATCCTCTTAAAACTATAATGATTAGG